TCTCTGAAATCAATAAAAATATAAAATAAATTAAAAACAAAGAAGTACTGAATTCTAAGGAGTTTATAGTGACAACTAATTAACTATTGCATCTTCTGGGTCAAGAACAGTACTCCAAGCCAATTCATGAGGCAAAACAGGCCAATAGAAATGCAGTATTTCTTAATTTATTCTACTGACACGGTTTTAAATGTTCTGTTACTGAAAACTTAACTGATGGGTGTTTGCACACATAGGTCTGTAGCACCTTACCAGGAGCACCCATTATCAAGCTGGGTCATGTCATCTAGCCATAAGAGAAGCCATTATCCTAGTTACTGACATGGGGGACATTGTCACATTGAGAATGGCTGCTGAACTTTATCAGACCACTTCAGTTACACTTTGCCTTTTCTAAGACTGCACTTCCCAAGTGCTATTCCAATTGATACTCACTTTAGGTTCCAAACCTTTTGAGTTCAACTGGTGTGAGAAATGACTCACCTATCCAAATTTCAAATGACGGACTGGGAAACAGAAACATGGCGAAAATGAGACTTTTAGTAATATTCCCGAGAGAGGGCACCCATTGTACAGGAACACACGTGGGGCAGGGAACACAGCCTATTTATTTAGTCCCTCCTCCGGCTCCTCATTGGCTGAATCCTGTGAGATCACCTGCTCTCATACAGTGCCTAGGTCTTGCTGTCTCCCATTGGGGGGCCATTAAAATATTGGGCTGAGACCTTTCTAGCTGTCTCCATCTCCCTTTGTTTAGGGGAATCACAGCTCTCATACCCTCTCCCCACCCGCCACATCCTATTTGCTCTGGGGAAATTCAGTAACAGCCTGGCCACATGCTAACCTGACAAGCTCAGGGAAGGCCTGCATGGCGGTCTTGCAAACTCAGAGACCTAAAGTAACCACAAAGGATGGTCTGAAACTAAACTTTAACTAAAAGCAGTTATGGTGGCTAGTTATTCTAGGCTGGTATCTTCACTGACAAGGTCAACCTTTACCTTAACTGAGCCTTATCTATTTGCATCTATAATAACATACCCTTAAAACGTCTGGGTAACTTGAAACTTCTTTTTCTGGACCCCTTAGGGCACAATCTAATGTGCCTGGGCGCCAGGACAGATACCACAAATTCCTTCATTGTTATGTTCATTTTTCCTGCACCCACCTAAGTATGTGTCTATCATTTTACTTTTTATCCAATCCCAGGGGTCCCCCTCGCCCCCCACCTTTGCTTTCTCCCGCCTTTCTAGTCTATCACCAATGGGTTTCATGTAACCCACCTTCATCCCTCCTTTGATTGCAATGTATAAATACAGATGTAACCCGCCATTCTCCGGAGCATTATCTCAATCCTTGAGGTTCTGATTCCCGGCAAATGTCGACAGATTGGCTCAAATAAACTCACAAAAAATTCTTTACAGGTTTGAATGTTGTTGTTTTTCACATTAACACGAGGAAGATGAATCAGAGGCATACTTCAAAACAAAGGAAAAATGTTGCTAAAGGAAATTAAGGAAAAGGTAAAATGAAGAAATGATGGTAATTGAGCAGAAAAAAAATTTATCCAAATTTTATACATACTGATAACCAGAAGAGCTACATGTTAACAGTATCCTGAGCTATTTTATAGCTTAGTCAGTCATTGGGGAAACATCTCTGTTTGTTCCATATGCTTTTAGCCCTTGTCTTATGTGTGTTACCATTCATGAGGTTTCTCCACTAGGATTGAAAGGCTTATTTTATAAATAATTCATGTGTATTGTCACACTTGATTTGTCCCATATCCTTAAACTTCAATGTTAAATTTTTGTACTGTTGGGGATGTCTGTATGGCTTCTTTGATAGATCTTGAAACCAATTTTTGAAAAACAAAGCTTGAGCCTGGTCGGCAAGGCTCAGTGGTTGAGTGTCAAGCTATGAACCAGGAGGTTATGGTTTGATTACCGGTCAGGAAACAGTCCCTTGTTGCAGTCTCAATCGTGTGTGTGTGTGTGTGGGGGGGGGGGGGGGGGGAGGGAGCGAGTGTCAATGATGATTCTCATCATTGATGTCTCTCTCTCTCTCTTCTTTCCTCTCTGAAATCAATAAAATTATATATTAAAAAAAAAAAAAAGAACCTTGGGCAGCTTGTATAAGTATGCAACTTACTTTTCCATCAAAGAATTGTCAGCAGCTGCCTGCTTTTCTCTGGTACACCTGTTAGCTTTCCCCGATAGATTTCTGAGAGCTTAAGTTAATATTGAATGTAATCAAACTTTCTTTTCTTTTGTTTTGAATAAAACACTTCTGACTGGAAAAATATAAATGTTTTAGAATTTATAACATACAAATGACCCCTTAAAATTAATCACTTCCAGAAGTTATATGCACATTCCAATGATATCACCATTACTGAAAACATTTCTAAAACCTTTTTTGGAATAGTTTTGAAGAGCCAGATTAAAAACTAAATAAGTTCTCCGTGGTACCACCTCATTTTACTGGACAACTGGTATTATCCAACTTTTTTACTCCAATTTTATTCATCAGACTTACCCTTTCCAAAAATTCAATTTTTTACAAATGACAAAAGTTTGCTACCCCTGTGGACATTCAAAAGACCTTCTCAGGGGTTGCAAAGACAGTCTGTTCAGTTTGCTTCAAGTTACAGTGGGAGGATATGTTCACTGTGTTATTTGAAACTATGTAACTAGAGATACTAAGGCTATAGACAGCCAATATAGAAAACTATACTGGTAAAAAAAAAAAAAAAAACTTTAATGATTCATCTATAATCTCCTGAAGCTTAAATGAAGGCAGATAATTATGTTCTCTCCTCTGCTCCCCAAATCGTCCCTCAATACCATGTCTCATGGATGGAGTTATGAATCTCTAAAGTATGACAACTTTCACATGGGGCATTATCATACTGTATATGACCTTCAGGTTTCTAGCAACTGACAAATCAACTCATTTGGGTATAAAACAATATGTCTAAAATGCTGTATTTACAAAGGAACTACTCTTTGTGCATTAGTAAGAAAATCCATTTTATATGAGATTGCTGTCTTCTTGTTTATAATTGTAGAATGCACTAATGAGATTAGAAGTTCTTTTGGACCTCACTATAGGTCAGCGATTTTCAACTTTTTCATCTCATGACACACAAACTAATTACTAAAATTCTGTGACACATCAAAAAATATATTTTTTGCAGATCTCACAAAAAATATGTATAATTTTGATTCATTCTCACCTGACAGCTACTGTTGTGTTGGCTGTCATTATTTTATTTGACAACCTAAGGGAAAACAGCTCCACGCCCCTGACTAAATAGTCAAGCATTGCATGTTTTTTAAATTCTTGCAGCACACAGGTTGAAAATTAATGCTGTAGGTAATACGTGTCTTTTTACCAAAATTCTCCTACTTTTCCCAAAGGAAACATTTATAGAACGTTTAACTTTTCTAAGTCTATCTAAAGATGGCCTCCCCTTTGGTCCTGAACTTCTTTTTTCTACCTTACGAAGTGCTCAGAAACTTATGTCAGAAGTAATTTTAAGCTTTAAGTGACTAAATTTATCTCAACATGGTTCAAAATGAGACTAAAATAAGTTTTGCAGATGTCATGAAAGCAAGATCTAAGTTTTTACTGAGGTTTCTACGTATTTTAAATGTTCCTTATCCAACTTCAATTTATTTAATTGCGTCAAAACAAAACTAAAAAAAAAAAAAAAAGAACAACTTCTTTAAGTGTTAGCAACTTCTATCTGAACTAGGTCAACCTCTAACCAGGGCTAGCCAACGGTTTTCTCTGTTCCTTAGATCGCCAATTTTAACAAAAATTCAGAAGAGATATCTTACTCGGTTCCACTTTACTTCTCTTCAACCCATGACTTAATGCTATACCAACAAATTCACCATTTAGCAAAGCCGTTACCTAGATAACTAGCCAACAACCCGTGAAGGACCTTTCTTGTAACTGAGTAGCAGTTCCAACCCTAGGTGAGTCTGCTCACAATATCTGAATAAGTCTTCTACTAGACTAGCTTCTGGTATATTTTTGGCAAGTCAAGTTTTCTGCTTTGCTTTCTAGCAGAGAAACGTATATAAAAAAAAAAAAAAAGAAAATCCCACCAAGAAAAATTCCCAACTCCGAACCTAGTAAATTCCGAACCAAGCGAACCCATTCACCAGCTGGTGGAATCCACAATCCCTGTTAAATCACTTAAGAGCTCCCGCCCCCGCCCGGCCCCGCCCGGGCTCATCCTCCCCCATCCGTCCAAAGGCGACAACAGAATTAGGCACCCCCCCCGGGCAATGAGGTTCAAAAGCGATAGCAAAAGGGGTCTTAAATGTGGCAAGGCCCTGGGGGGGGGAAGGAACCTACCCTTCCTTCCCGAAAACTGAAAAGACTGCTTCGTTGCTAACCAGCAAAAAGAGAGGGCGCGGCACGAGCCACCTAAACCCGTTTGATGGCACCTCCCTGAACTCCAAGAGGGGGTGACTGGCAGTTTCGGGGGGCAGTCACGGGAAATGCCACTTCAAGCCCAACGTGGGCTGCTTTCCGCTCTCGCCCCCCGACGGGAAAGCGAAGGAAGCTCACATTCAACCGGCTCCAAACTAGCCTCCCGGCCGCAGGGATGTCAGTGGGAAGGGGCGGGGAGAAGGTTGGACACGCCGCTGCCACTTCAACGGAGCCACCCCTTTCGCCACCAGCGCCCCAGGCCCGCGGTGCCACGTCCCGGCCTCCGTCCACCGGCACATCCTCGGGAGGCCGCCCGACTCGCTCCCCTGCAGGCGCCCCTCGTGGACCACACCTCGGCCAGGGCGGCGACGGAGCAGTTAGAGCGGTTGGAACCC